ATTTAATTCTGTACTGCTGCATGTTCTATTCAGTTCAGTTCTATATTGTTCTCTGTTTCGTCTTCTTACTTTCATCTATGTTGTGTTCTTTTCCAGTCCATTCTGCCCTGTAAAATCCTGTAACTCTGTTCTGTTCTATTACTTTGTACTATGGTGTGTTCTATTCCATTCACTGCTTTTGTCTGTAAAATCTTGTTACTCTGTTCTATTCCATTACTTTGTACTATTGCATATTCTATCCTGTTCTCTTCTTGTGTCTGTTAAATTGTGTTACTTTAATCTACTCTGTTACTCGGATGTACTCTGTGTCCTATTGGAGTTTATTCTGCTCTGCGCAATTCTGCTACTCCATATTCTATCGTCTTCTCTTCTTTTATTCTCTACTTTATCCATTTACTGTTCTCTCACCACTCTCTCCTATACTGCGCTGTGTTTTATTCAGTTCTTTAACTTTTCTCTTATTATATGTTCTCCTCCTATACATTCCTATTCTATTCCCAGGTTCCTCTGTGTTCTGCTGCTCTGCTGCGCTCTGCTCTGTTACTTTATGTTCAATCCCATTCTGTTCTGTTCTTTTCTACTCCTCTGTTTCTGTGCTCTTCTTTTCTATATGGACAATAAAGTCCGATGATTTTACCCTGCACAGAGATTTCAGAAAGATCAGAACACATTTAGTGAAATGCAGCATGCAGCCCGCTCCTACGTGCATTTTGAATGAGGCTAGTAGTGATATTTGCGTATAACAGAAGCACGGCCTCCCTCCCATTGGACAATGTCTACGTGAGGGCGTGGCAAGGAAAGATGAGAGTTGCAAATCCATGCCCTTACTGGGAAGACATGGAGAGCTATGGACACAGTCTACACGAATCTAGTAGGAATCTCAACTAAAGGCATAAATATTTCTCCAGTTAGGAAACAACCGATTTGAGAGACTGAGAGGAAAGAACGGGTGGCCCGGTTGAGGATGGAGTGTGCATTTGACGCACAGAATCTGATCTCCATTTCTTTGAGGAAAATCCAAAGCTCCAGGACGCAGAGAGGAGGCATCAAGCTCCACAAGAACTTACTGGTAACGTACGTACTGAGAAACGCCAGGCAGTTTTATATGAGCAAAAACTTGTCGCAGACGCAGAGGACGCATCCGTATGAGGATGTAGCGGCGGTCCGTGAAAGGCAAGAATACCTTGAATTGACTGGGAGCTTTACGGAGTTGGCTGATGACTTCTACTGCAACTTTACTGGGGTTGAGTCGGACACTTGGCACTGCGGAGCGCACCAGCCCCATGGCCAGCCTGCAGAGGTGGCGCACCAAGACGCATCTGCCTGCGCAATGGTCTCACCAAGTGACTCTGACCTCATGGTTTCGGAAGCCTGTTGGAGCTGTGCGGACAAATCCTCCTGGGAGTTACCTATCCCGAACACGCAAGCCAACCAAAAGACTGTCCTGGACTTGGACACCCATGTGGTGACAACTGTCACGAATGGATACTTCCACTCAGACTGTTGCGCGCAGCCAAAACAGCCGCAGGGCGCGCAGTGCTACGCGAAGAAGCGAAAGATGGACACAAGTTATCATATTGTTGATCCAGAGTTTTATTTGCCAGACTTTGGACCGGTGCCATGTAAAAGGATGAGGACTGATGATGATTCACATTCAGACTCGGAGCAGTTGGACAGCACAAACATCTCCAACCTGATCTCAGTGTTGGGTTCAGGTGGACTATCTGAGTTTGTGAGTTGGCAGCAGACGGACCTTGAGCAAATATTCGCCGCTCAGACAATTTGTTTAAAACATACACTGTTAACAGGCAGCGGCTGGACCAGAGCAATCGAAGCATTTTGATTTGTATGACTGTTTTTATTTGTATCGTTTTATTTTATTGCTTTCAAAAATAAACCATGACACGACTGCAATCCTCTCTCTCTCTCTCTGCTCTGTTATTAAAAATATTGCTGAAATGTGAGAGCTTCGCATCCATGTAGGACTACCATTGCACACTGACATTTCTCGTCTCAATTAATATATTTCTCCACTCGGTATAAATTCATTGCACCTTTCATTTATGCCTTATTTTTGTAATGATTCGTTAGAAGGGAACTGGAGTCTGTCTTTGGTTTGTATTTCCTGAAGAAATGAGTTGTTTCTCTGGAAAGATGTTGGAAGAGCACCATCATGTGGCCAGTAAAGATCTGTACAGACTCATACGCCAGCTCCACACAGAATATCATCCTGTTAATGTATCATTTCTATCAGCTTTTAGTCATCAATAGAACTAACAGAACTTTAATAATAACAATAATAATAATAATAATAATAAAAGCACAGATGTATTGGCTTTAAATTGAAACTTCTGCTCCTGATGACTGGGCCTGGGCTTTATCACCGGGTATTTTTAAGTATGCACACGTGTTTAACTTAGATGTATGGAGTTTATAATGACCTCGTAGGCTTTTTTTTATTTTATTTTTGTAAATATGCTATTATTTTACCATCCATAACTTGTATTTTGCTATTATTTAAAGTAAATGATACTTAATGCTTCTGATTTATTTTTTCTTCAAATAAAATTAATAAAATGATGAAATGAGGAAGCTCCTTTGAAAAATTTTGGGCTAAAAAAAAAAAAAAAAAAATTTAAACCGCAACTTCATCTGCACCAAAGTCCAGCCAAAAAAACAGCACTTTAAGCTCCGGCGCTCACACTTGTCTATGCTCGGTGGGTCCGAGGGGGGGCGGACAGCTGAGAATAGACGGTGAGCTTGTCCTTGAGAAATGACTGCCCCAAGGTTTCCCATCTATATATCCAGGACAGTCAAACAGTTTAGCGCGTCTCTCTGACAACATGTTGGGTGTTTTTGTCAGAGCCGTGGTGAGTGTGCTGCTATGTTTCTTAACGTGTATTTTAAGTGCGTAATAAGCAGAAGCGCAGTAACGTAACGTTTGCTTGTACGGCATGGGGCTGAGTAAAGGGGTGGGGCGCTGCACAGGATAGCAACAACAACATTGGGCACATTTATAACTGTTTTGTGTCATGTATGATGTGAAAATGCACGTTATTTCCTTTGGCAGACTTTAAATTGTGCGTGTTTAGCATCTCCGCAGTGTGACATAATGTTAGCTTAGTGTAGCCGTTAGCCTGTGTTAGCTTAATGCACACGCTGCTGGAAGGACAGTAGCTTAATATAGAAACACTTTTAGTCGGTACAGAAACCCCCCTTAAGTTCCATCAGTGTTTTTATTTATTCTTCGTTGCGGCATGTGTTGATAATAACCTTCAGGGAACGTTTCCTGACTTCTGTAGAAAGTGGTAGTAGTGAACACACTGTTGCCGAAACAGCCCTTGGTGTTTACATATAGCTCACGTCCATTAATGTGCCGTTTATTTGTCTCAGCTTCTGCGTCCATTCTCACCCAAAGCTTATCAGAAAACGATTTCATATTAATTAGCAGCAGCGAACTTGAGTGCACAGACAGATTTCTAGCTTGCTTGTATGTTTGTTTGAGCTGCCATCCCAAAGCTTCAGCTGTGTCAACCCTCTATTTATAAGCTGGCAGAGTCAGAGTTCACCTGTGGGTCCAAACAAATAGTAACTGCTTCATTCAGCTGTTTTTGGTGTTAGTTTTGGTCCAGATCGTCTTACTGCAAACTACATGCCCGAGTAAATAATTTTTGATTTGCTTGACAGCATTGCATCCACTTCTTGCTCAAACCTCTTTGCACTGAGTCATTTACTATTTTATTCTCCGATTGCAAACACTTAACAACATGTTGACACCTGGGGTTTGTGAGTCAAGTGGCATCTGTGATGCAATTAATCTTGGGATTTAACAAGTGAGAGTATGAGTAAGATTAAATGTCAGTAATTACAGTTTTGTATCAGTGCAGTGAACCACTTATATTCATGTAGTCAATTATGATATTTGATGTGGGACATTTGTGATGCTTTATAGATTGCAGATGCTCTAATAGTTTGTCTGTGCAATGTGTAATTGCAGAGAAGCTTTTGTATTTAACAAGTTTATGTCCTGCAGCTGCGGCCAGGCTCGGTGAAGCCATGTCGCCTTGTGAGACCAGTAACACAGATCCAAGAACGATCGCTGGTGCACCAGGAGGGTTTACCGAAGCTGCCTGTGCCACCCTTGAAGCAGACCTGTGAGCGCTACCTAGCTGCTTTGGAGCCCATTGTCAGCGAGGAGGAGCTGGAACACACCCGTCAGCTGGTACAGGAATTCCTCAAGGGTGGTGTCGGAGAAAGGATTCAGAAAGGCCTGGAACGACGGGCACGCAAGACAGATAACTGGGTAGATATTTGGTTTTATTTAACTTTTGATTTAGTGAGGTGGGCATGCTGAGGGTAACAGTCCATCTTTGACAGAGAGTAAATGTTTGATGTGTCTTGATTAAATAAAGTATGGGCCACTTGCTGCTCGATGTGAATCAAGGTCCTTTGAAGTAACATGCCCTAAGAAAGGCTTGTAGTTTGGACTGAACACTATGTGGCAGACCAGTCTTATAAAGGAAGTAATCTCTATCTTTTATTGTATTAGACATCTACGTGCTTCCATGTAATAAAATATTCAACTATATAGTATTCCATTTTCTTTCTGCTGCTGTTTTTATGTAGCTGTCAGAATGGTGGATGCAATCAGCCTATCTAGACTGCCGTATGCCTGTGGCGGTTTACACCAGTCCCGGGGTTGTCCTGCCTCAGATGCGCTTTCAGGATCGCCAAGGACAGATGAGGTGAGAAACCAGCATCCACTGTAAAACCAGTCACACAAACAATCCAAGCCTTTATCTTAAACTACACACACGTGTACAGTCACACAGAAGAGGAGTTGTAATGATGCTGTCGATTTCCTACATTCCAACAACATCAGTTATAAACCTTAATTGTCTGATTATAAGCAGAGTCATAAAGCTGTTTCCACAAGTGATTTACTTTGTGTGGAAGTAGAGTGTCAACAAGCTCGTATGAAGCTGGAGTTTCAAACTGACCTTCGCAAAGTCTTCCCTCTACGTGACTATTTAAAGCTCTTTGGCTGCTCATACCATTGCTCAGCTGTTTTTGACCACTGTAACCCATGGGATATGCAGTCAACACGGTGGGAGACATGATGCATAATATATAGAATGGAGAAGGATAATAACACTATGCACATATAATATATGATACTGTAGTGTAGTTAGTGCTAGAGTTTTAGAGGCAATATAGAATGACATTGCATTCATTAATTCATGTATTTATTTTACTTAAAACCTTGGAGAGCACATTGAGAGACAACAATGCCAAAGTACGTACAATTAATTTACACACATTTAAAATCAAATAGCGATAAAGGACGGATACATGGCTTTATCAGGTAAAACAAAATGAACACTGCTAACTATTGTAGTAATTTACAATGAAAGAATAAAACAAAATGAAAAGTAAAAATGAAAAGCAATGACAGTTGCAATAACTAAGAGTAGCAGTTGAACCTTGGAAATGTCTCAGTGGTAATAATGAGGTCAACTTTATGTTTTGTTGAAACATATTCCATGTATGCAGGACACAGCAACTAAAAGCAGAGCTTCTAAACTCTGAATTTTTGACACCTACAAGGTGAGCCATGTTTATGAGTGAGAACGATGGCTACCAACATTCCAAGAGAGCAGAGCTGAGAGAGACGGGGAGGGAGCTTTGTAAAAAGGCTTTATATATAGATGAAAACAAATGCTGATCCCTCTTCACTGACAGGGCAGACAAGCCAGTGTTTTTGATATACTAGGCAATGGTGTGTTCCATAACTATCTGCAGTGATGAATCTTAAGGCAGACTAATATGCTGTATATAAAGGTTTGAGAGAGAAACTGGCTGCCTGGCCATAAATAACAAACCCATATTCCAACACCAAGAGGAAAAGTGCTTCAACAATCCTTTATCCTATAAATAAAGGAAAACCTGAGTTATTTCTCAGAAGAATGCCCGAATTTAATCTCAGCTTTGATAACAGCTTCACAGTATGGACTTTAGAAGGAAGTTTTCATTGACACAAATGCCTAGATATTTATAGTGTTGCACTTTCTCTATTATGATGTTAATAAAAGAACACATTTCAAGAATACTGTAGTCGATATTTCTAGCATTTGCTCATAAATGTCTCCATGCAGAGTTGATTGCAAACAATTGGATTTTTAAGAAATGTTTTATCTTTGTTCACCCCCCTATATAAACCCTTGAACCATTAATACACATAAACAAACCGAGTCATCATATGCACATGATGTCTTGTCTGCAGGTTTGCTGCCAAACTAATTGCGGGAGTTTTGGACTTTAAAAAAATGATTGACAGGTGAGTTTGTCTGACTTTATTACAAACATTGTACTACTGTTATAGAATGCCCATTGTCACTTTAAATGGGCGTTGGTTTACAAAACTGCAAATAAATAATGTGAGACCTTGTGTCACAGTGAGACCCTGCCTGTAGAGTATCTGGGTGGGAAGCCGCTTTGCATGGACCAGTATTACCAGATTCTGTCCTCCTGTCGTATTCCGGGACCAAAGAGAGACAGCGTTGTCAATCACGCCATAGGAAAAACACCTCCCACCCACATCACTGTGGTCCACAACTTCCAGGTACTCTAGATGGCACTGCTGTTCCTCATTTTTGCACCTCTCAATACTTTAGATAGACAATTTAACATCATAATGTCATTATTATTTGTGCAGTTGCTAAAAAAAACACTGAATCTGTGGCTAAATCAGCCTGACCTTTCTTCCCCAGTTCTTTGTCTTGGATGTGTACAACAGCGATGGAAGTCCGCTAACAGTAGATCAGATTTACATGCAGCTGGAGAAGATCTGGAACTCATCTTTGCAGACTAACAAGGAACCGATTGGCATCCTTACATCACAACATCGCAACACCTGGGGAAAAGCCTACAACAACCTGATCAAGGGTGAGCAGGGGAGGGGAAAAACCTCAGCAGCAGCTCAAGGTATTCTCTAGTTAGAAAGGTATTGGAGGTACAATATTTGATCGTCAATGTCTTTCTGTTGCTCCTCAGATAAGACGAATAAGGAATCAGTCCGTGCCATCCAGAAAAGTATCTTCACAGTTTGTTTAGATGCTCCAATGCCCCGAGTGTCAGACCACTTGTATCAGAGCCGGGTGGCTGCTCAGATGCTACATGGAGGAGGAGCTCGATGGAACAGCGGCAACCGGTGGTTTGATAAAACGTTACAGGTCAGTTTGAGTGAACTGACTCAACATTTTGAATAACAAACAATTCTCTGGCAGTGGTCGAGAATTTGAATGTACTTGCAAATCATCCTCAGTTCATTGTTGGAGAAGACGGTACATGTGGACTGGTGTATGAGCATGCACCTGCTGAAGGTCCACCCATTGTGTTTCTCATCGATTACGTTGTTAAATCCATGTAAGTTCTTTTCTTAGTTTTTAGAAAAGTGTTTCTTCTGTTTTAAATGAGCTCAGATTGACTCAGTGGTTCACATTTTCTCAACAGGCAAAGGGAAGAAATAGTTCGTTCTCCTATGGTTCCCTTGACCATGCCTCTGAAACTGCGTTTTAACATTACGCCCGAGGTCAAGAGAGACATCGAGAAAGCCAAACAAAACATGAACATGTGTGTAAATTGCAGTTTTGATGATTGTTATTATGGCTTCAGCTTTGGTGTCAGCCATTTCTTTTAACTCCCTCTTTTGGTTGTGTTGTTAGAATGGTACATGACTTGGATGTGAAGGTGCTCATGTTTTCTCATTTTGGGAAAAATGTGCCAAAGCAGTATAAGCTAAGCCCAGATGCATTTATGCAAATGGCTCTTCAACTTGCCTATTTCAGGTAAGGACCTCTTTATTGTAGTGAAGATTATGCTGGACATAGATTGTAAGTGTATTAAATCATATACCTTGTGTGCTGTTTTTGAATTCTAGGATGTATGATATTTGCTGCGCGAGTAATGAGAGCGCGTCTTTAAGAATGTTTAAATATGGACGAACAGATGCAATCCGCTCAACTACTGTAGAATCGTCTCGGTTTGTCCAGGCAATGCAAGACCCAGCTAAACAGGTGAGGTTTAACCACTGTGGCTCCACAATACGTGTTTTAGTGTGCAACATGAAAGATGTCTGATTGAGCAGTAAATGTTCCCCACAGAACCCAGAGAGGCTGGCACTGCTGCAGAAGGCTGTTGAGGCACATAAGGAAAACACATACAATGTGAGAGCTGGAGTTTATCGATAAAAAATGTTGTAGTTTTTTATCTGATTAACTTCAGTTCCACCAATTCACAACTTCTTCTTTTAGGCAATTCACGGACAGGCCGTAGACAGACACCTCCTAGGGCTGAAGAGGCAGAGCATTGAAGACTTGACTTCTATGCCTGAGATATTCATGGACACCTCCTTTGCAGTGGCTCATCATTACAACCTCACCACCAGCCAGGTATGTTTGCATCTAGCAAAACCAACAGTCTATTATTACCGAGCAAATGAGTTTTTTGACGTTGTATTTGTTTACTTGTGTATTTGCCCTCGTCTCTCCCGTGTCCAGGTCGGCTCCAAGACAGACTGTGTGATGTGCTTTGGTCCAACGGTGCCAGATGGCTATGGAGTGTGTTACAATCCCATGGATGAGCACATCAACATCGCCATCACAGCCTTCAACAGCTGTGAGGAGACAAATGCTGCCAAGTTTGCCCAGGCTGTAGAGGATGCGCTCTTGGACATGAGAGCTCTCCTGGAAGACACAGCTACAGCCAAGCAGTGATCTCACACTGGAGCCTGGCATGGCGTCCGTGTCCCACCAGGCTGTATGGGAGCTGGAACCGAACCGAGTCGTTGCCGGAGTCGTTGGCAGAATGCCACGCTGGCATAAACGCACAACGTACTGAGTGTGTTTGAGCTGAGGGGAAACCTGTTACCAAAGGGGATGTGGGAAATGTAATATGTGACTGTCAATGCACTGCCTTTGAGATGAGAAGCAATTCTCGAGCAATTTACATTTTAATATATTGTGTTCATATATAATATATATAATATATATGTATATATATATCTATATATAACTGAGAATTGTAAGAGTACAAACAATTTTTTCTTTGTTTATACTTCAACAGTTTCTGGTCTTCGGAATTACTTAAAGATTTTGAGTGCTTTGGTGTGTTTATGATTTATTTCAGGTCAAAACTATTCACACGTAGGTATGACAATCAAATGACAAAAGATCTTGCTTCCTGCTCGTCAGAGAAGAAGTGAAATGCTGTGATAAAAACTTAGCGTAAACTAAACGAACACATCGATTAAAACCTCTCTGAAACAGTTAATATTCAGTATCAACGACGCATAAAGGAATATTCCGCTCTAAAGCTCCCTTTGGAATGCAGGTAGTCTCCATGAAATTCAATCTCAGCCATATTTCCAGAGGAGTGCCACAGAAACAGCTGTTGGCCTTTAAACACGTTGGTTTTTAAGACATCCATGTCCCGGATCTGGACAAGGAACAAAAGAATATTGCAGCAGTTATTACACTTATTTCCTGTGAAGCATGCAGAATACTGAAACAGCATGTGTTGAAAGGCTTGATCGCACCATAATGTATGTAGACTGGGAGTTGGTGGCGTTGAATACTAATCCTATGTGCCGCGCTTGGATTCTGATCTTCACTGAGGGAGGGGCGTTGATGAGCACTCGACAGGTGTGGTTAGTGCTGGACGTTATGGGATTCTCAAAGACACCGCTGGGGGAAAACAGCTGAATGTCGCAATCTGTGGGGCAAATATGAGGTACATTTAATTTGTGTCACCTGTGCGATCACATGCAGTTCAATACAATTGCCCAGCAGAAAGTATTACAGCAGTGAAGCTCAACATGTTGAACATTTGTGCAGACTGTGTCAGCTGCAGATTTAGTTCTGTGGTTTTGTTTTTGCTATATTATGCTGTGTTGATTGCAAGGATTTTTTTTTGTCCCATCCAGACCTGCATGGAGAAGATGGAGGGGTGAAATAGCACAACAACAAGTACAGCTGAAAACCTTATCGAACACTGCTACTCTTTCAACAGAAAAAAAAAAACTGTTTTCAGCTTCACTGTGTTGATTGCAGGGCTTTTGTGTTGGATTGCATTAGATTGTGAATGTCTTCACACTATTTCATACATCTCTGAAAATTCAATTCTAAGCCTTTATGTTGCAATAGTCTCCAACATTTCTCTCAGTTCACTTGCAGTTGGATTCATTCAAATAGCAAGTGATGCACCTTCTCTAGTGACTCCATCTTTAGAGACAGTACCTAACACCAATTACAATTACATTACAATCCCATATTTGATAACCAAATGAGCCGGTTTACCCTGATGGTGGCTCCTCTTCATGTTTTTCTGTGAACTGTAGGTGAACACAACCCCATTCCCTGGAGTGAGGAGATTTTGACGCACCAGCAGGACATTTGTTCTGCTGGTCAGTTCACTCCCAGCTACCTGCACACACTTCCTCATGAATGCCAGTCGGTCAAAAAATGCCACGTATTCCTCTGTAAGAACACATACACAGAGTTATTATTTTTCTGCAATAGCCATTTCATAGGAAATAGCATCATTTACATACTGATTACAACCTACTTTTCGTGCAGTCCAAGGAGCTAGATAGCACTCTAATGTGAATGACCTCATCTAGGGGTCGACCTATGGATACAGTGCAGCGACTGGCTACGTCTTTCAAATCCACCATGCCTGATTCCTCCAGGAGTAGCTGCCCGCATACACCTGAAAAGAGCGCACCCTGTTATTATAATCAGTCTCTGCTTCAGCTCTCGATGAGCTCTTTAAAGAACCTATGCCTACTAACTGGATTTAGGTGTTGGGGTTGTCGTGGTCTGAGGGATGGTGATGGAATCTGTTGGACTCAGTGTTGCGTCGTTATCAGTCACAGTTGGAGGCATGATCGGCCTCTCTGTGAGGTTAACCCTCATGACAGTATTTATTGCAGTGGTATTATCAGAGGCCAGATCTGGTGTGGACAGCACATCTCTGCAGATTCCCATGTTGCAGCCCTGGATGGTGATTGGCTTGGGCATGTGCATGCAGAACAGAGGGCTGAGGGGCTCTGGTTTAGAAGGCCCCATGCAGGACACAGCTCTGGACTGGATTCCATATCCACAGGGCACTGAACACTAAAGAGTAACACAACACAGAAGGTAGGTAAAAGAGTCAGCAACATCCTGCATGAATAGATAATAATATATGACACAATTAGCAATGTTCAGACAGGCAGTGGATGGTTGGCAAATAACACTGGGTTGCATGCCCTTGCATAAGGTTAAAAACTGTTTATTTGCAAGCGCAGGACATTTTTTTCAATTAGTAGGCTAGTCAGTGAATCAGTTTTTACTTATTCATTATCCATTCTGACCTAATCTGATTTAATCTTCATATTTCAATCCATCTATTCTTTGTCCTGACATGTGACATGTACCTGGCTCCATGGCTTCACCTCCCACCTGAAGGTGCAGATCTGCACCAGGCAGGGTGCTGCAGTGGCTGGTTTCATGGCTGCATGGCAGTTTTCCTCTGACACCACGCTCTCCTTGCCATGAACAAATTGAACACAAGACACAACCCTCTGAGCTACGCCCAGGTCACAGGACACAGAGCAGGGCAGTGTCCTGAGTACCTTCCACCTGGACAGGTGACAGTGGTGGTGAGATGACTTTGGCTTTGATTTCAGACGTGTTTGTGTGTTTATTCCTGTAAGTGTGATTTACCTCGCTGGGCAGCTCTGAGTGTTACATGAAACCACTGCTGTAGGTTTGGGAAAGTCACCGCACTCTGAATCCTCCACAACCACCTCCTCCCCTTCTGTTTCTCCAGCACAGTACAGCACCCTGTTGGCCACCCCTCCTCCACACGTTACACTGCAGACTCCTTGCTTAGAGCGCCACCTGGTTGTCGAAAAAAAATACGCTGCTGCAGCACAACTTCTTTCTCCTAATAGATATACACAGAAGCCTCCATGCTGCAGACAAACATGTAGAAGTGCTGCAATGTTTCACGCAATCATCCTGAATCTTATATACATGTTGAGTACGGCGTCTCACATAGGAGGGCAGGGAGAAGTGTTGCACATCTCTGACTGAGGGTGAGGTTTAGTAGAAGCATCACAGTGGAAGTCGGGCACCCCCTGTCTGGTCTGGTGGTCTATACATGAAAACCACACCTGCAGGGTTCCTACAGTGTAGAAACATTGAGCTTTGAGTTGCTATATCTGAAGTGGATGTGTTGTTTTTTAATGATTTTGATTTTTTTTTTTTTACATACCATTGCCACAGGTCTTTGAACACTGGCTGATAACTGGGCTCCACACATACACTGGAGCCTGTCTAGAGCGTGGTGTTACACCAGACTTCAGAATGGGATGTTCCTGCTCAAGAAAGACAACAATTAGACATGCATGATGTTCTGAAATAAGATTTTTAGTTATTTTCCACTTTACCTCTCCTTTAGATTCCCACCCAATGGGACAGACATCCACCACGCACGGCACAGAATCAAGTGGCTTGATCTGCTTTGAACAGAAGCTTTGATCCACTTCAACATCTTGATTATTTTCTGGCCGGACACATGACACAACTCGCTTGGCTTCTCCTGGCCCACACACCGCTGAACAATCCCCTGGCTCTGACACATGCCATCTGTGAACACACATGAGTGGGTTTGTCACATAAAACTCAATCTGAGGCAGGAGAATAAGTTCCTCATATTTTGTGGATATAGGATCAGATGCCCCACAATTAGTAAGTAACGTCAACAGTCGGGTGTAGGGTTTATACCTGGCGGGGCAGTGTTGCAGGTTGCATTTTTCAGCTGCGTGTGGAGCACTATCAGATGGACATTCAGAATCTGGAACCGCCACCACATCGGATCCATGTTTCTGAACACATCTTACAGGACGCACTCTCTCTCCACCACCACAGGAGGCACTGCAAGGCCCAAACTTTCCTGCATCCCATCTGTAAAATAGTAAATTATTCATGTGTACTCATTTGTGCTGAGCTGTGTGTCAGTGTAGAGGGGGAGAAAAAAAAAAAAAAGAGTGTGAAGCTAACCTGGGGGGACAGGGTGAGAGCTGACAGGTTGTGTGGGGAGGTGTGGATGGTGGAGATGTTTCACAGTTGTTTTCTTCCAAATGGTTGTTGGTATCTTCATCCACACAGACATACACATGCTTCTGTACGCCTGTTAAGAGAGGACAGCTAGAAGACCTCCTAAAACAACTAATGCAAGTCTTTTTCTCTTGCTATCAAATACATTATGGTGGCTATTCTTTTTGCAGTTTTCACTGTTTTCACTATGACTTATTAAGCTACTGACCGGATCCACAAGAGACTGAGCAGGGTGCTGTAAAAATGACCCATTTGCCTTTCGGTGTGACGTCTGTCAGGTCGCTGCTCCTTTTGGGTACAAAGAACTGGTAGCTAATGTTCGGATTTGTTTTCTCTCCATATTCTTTTCCATATTTGCGATAGACCTGCAATCAGAAAAATATTCACATGCACTGTATTATTTTCAGGTTCATTTTGTGCTGATTGTTTTATTCCTATTATCTAAGATGTAACAGGTCAAAGTTTCTGCTCAAATATGGTCCGCCTCTTGGATTACAATGTGACATCGTTTCTGAAGGCTGCTGTAGGTAGTATTTCTACAGCATGATTGGGCAAAATTTCCATAATAATCTTTCAGCATATTGCAGTTCAAGTGGTCTGTGAGGAAACTAGACAATGTAGGAAGACTTTGGCTCATCACAAGCCTTTGGCTCTTTGGCTCATCACAAGCCTTTTTACTACTATAGTAGTATACACTAAAGACAGTATAGAGAGCAACAAAATGCACATAAGTGGTAGTGTGAGGTGGCTGAATGGGTTAAACAGAGAGCTTTCACTCAGGAGAATGGGATTTGAGTCCTCATTGAAGCTGAAAATGATGCTGACTTATTGCATATTGGACAGAGAGGGAATATGTCAGAGCTGGAGGAGGAGGAGGAGGAGGAGAAGGAGGAGGGCTGCATTTTCAAATTCTGATTTTTTATTTTCTCCATGTTGCTGCCTATTGCAGCTTTAAATATATATATATATATATTTTAAATTGTGTGTTTTCCTCTCCT